CGCCCACAGCGGAGATGTATATTGAGGGGTGTGCTGCTGAGGCTGACTGTCTTGGCTGTGCTCTACAACAAGCTATCACGCAAGCACTACAACCCAATCCACACTATCACTCGCCCAAACCTCTTACAAACACACACACAGACACACACATACTCAGAGATGTGTGTGTAGAGATAATGCCGACGCTATATACGCCTAAGCCGTGATACATCCTTTCTAGACCCTTCGCTCTGACACCATCGACACCAAAGTATACAAAAGAAGCACCTATCACAACCCCACTCACTCACTCACTCACTCACTAACTAACCAACTAACTAACTAACTAACTCACTCACTCACTCACTCACTCACCTAAACCTATCCCTCTCGCCCACAATAGGAGAGGTGTGTGTCGAGCTGCTGCCGAGGTTGTCTGGCTGGGCACGACCGGCCTTGGGGGTAGTGACCATACCACCCCCACCCTCTGAACGTTTCTTAATCTCTGCTCTCTCGAGTGTGACGCGGCTCCAGGTCTTTGCATCGCTCTCGTTCATGACCAGAGAGAGCTCTAGGCGCAGGGCCATGTTCTGTGGGGTGGGTGGTGGGTTTGTGATTTGTGTTTTTTATCATGCATGCATATATATATATATATATCCACGTGAAGGTGTGTATATTATACGTAAGAAGCACACTATTGATATCAGTATATAAACGATTCGTGTGAGCCGACTACACGTTCATCTGTGTTTGGTATCCCATATACAAACGCAAAAGCAAATTGGTCGTTGCCCGGCCGTCCGTACACTACGTAGTCCACAAATACAAAGACAACTGCCTGTACCACTCTCCGGTTACTATTACTCATCTCACTGAACAAGCAAAAGCATGCACAGCCATCACAGCAACACACACACTCTCTCTCTCTCATTCTCTCTCTCTCTCTCTAATTGACGCACCACTCCAATAGGGCACACATACACTGATACAGGGTATCATACACACACTGATTTCCTACAAGAACCATACACCTATCCGAAATATCAAACAGCCACATATGCACACCATACACGCACAGGTTGAGCTGCATTCGCGTACGCGTGTGCATGCTACACTCACCTGCGCCCCAGACGCAGCCCCTCCCGTTGGGGTCAAAAGTGTGTACCAGTCTGCGCGGGTGTTGTTGGCAGGCAGTGTGTCTAAGGGAACGATCACCGTGCCTGGAGTGGAAGGGGCGAGTGGGGTGAGGGATAGGTTAGCTAAACAGGTAGAGAGAGAGTTTGTGTGTGTAAGTGATATGATAGATAGGTAGGTGGAGAGTGAATACAAACACATACTACCCCACCACACACAAATACATACCACCACACCCCATACAAACACATACTACCACACCACATACAGATGTACACACCTAGGAACACTTCCCCGCGGAACAAGTCATAGTCGAACACTCGGATGTGCAGGGGATGCAGCAGATCTCTGGAGTTGAATGGCGGCTGTTGGGTCTTTTCTTTGTACGCCCTGTCCCATGGATCAGCCTCCACTGGCTTGTGCACCATAAACGTAAACCGCTCGTTCCATATAGGCACCTCCCGGTACGCAATCTGAATACGTAAACAAGGCCAAGGTATGAGTCAGGGAATATTTTGTGCACCATAAACATAAACCGCTCGTTCCATATAGGCACCTCCCGGTACGCAATCTGAATACGTAAACAAGGCCAAGGTATGAGTCAGGGAATATTGGAGTGTGTGTGTGAGTACTAATTCGCTCTCATGTACCGAAGATCGGCCTCAAATAGTTTGTGTTTGCACGTTAGAAGTGAACCGAGACACTTCTCCGTACGCATTCAGATAACGTTGCTAATGTCACGGTAAGATTCAGGGGATGTTGGGGTGAGGGTGTGCGTCTACTTATTCGCTCTAGCGTTCTAAGGATTGGTCTCAAGTAGTTATGTGCATCTTAGAAGTGAAACGGTCGTTCCACATATCCACTTTTCGGTGCACAAAAAAGACAAAGTGTTCGGTACATCTCCAGAACAATTGACCAGAACACCAGTCCTTACTAAGACGGGTAAGGGTCCATCACATTTGTATACAAGCCGGCTATTGTGGGACAGGCCATGGATCCCTAGACTATCAGCATTCACACAGAAAGACTCGCACTTAAATGTAAAACATACACCTCAGACCATATACCATACACCATGGAAGGTAGATATATGCGAGAAGTAGACTTAAAACTTTTGGGTTCGATTTGGTGGATACCTTTGAGGTGGAGACAGGTTCACCGTCGTATCGGATAGTGCAGAACGGCTCGCTTATCTGGCCCTCTTTTCTGGGCACAAAGTTTCGCATTTGGCACACTTTGACACTTAACTTGACACCTTTGTCCCGCTGTGGCAATAAGCAACGAGTGAATGAGTGACTGAGTGAATGAAGACTGACTGAGTAGGGACAGAGTGAATGATGACTGAGTGTATGATGACTGAGTGAATGAGGACTGAGTGAATGATGACTGAGTGAATGATGACTGAGTGAATGATGCCTGAGTGAATGAAGACTGAGTGAATGATGACTGAGTGAATGAGGACTGAGTGAATGAGGACTGAGTGAATGATAA